CCTCACCAGCTTCAAGGAACCTCCCTTGACGGGGATCAATCTTACAAATCCCCCCAAAAAAATCTAAATGATTTTATGCTTTTTTGCTCTAATGTGAAAAATGGTGTCCAAAACAAACAGGAAACCACTAAATAGTTCCTGATTGTTGATGTAACTTCTGCTTCAACAAGAACAATTTGTACTGTGGGCTGTAGTTACTGAAATTGTGAAAAGTTATTTTTTTGTTCATAAATGTGTGGACTGCTATACAATCAACAGACACAACAGTTAGAGAACTGATACATGATACTCTTAGGAGGTACAACATGCCAACTGCAAACTGCGGTGACCAGGGGTTAAACAACGGAAGCAACTTGAGTGACTGCTACAACGGTGCTCAAGCTCAGATTCTGAAAGACATCCTACAAATCACACACACCATAATTCTGTGTAGTTGTTCAAGCTACTGAATTTTGTCCGGATATGATTACGTTCTTTGGAGAAGTTGAAAACCTAACGTATGTTTAGCTCTAGCCCGCGATGATGGGAAATTCCGGTGGAAAATGTTGGCTGGCCTCTACTCAGCATACATGACACATCTCACCTTGGCTATTTAGACAGTGTCAAAGCATTGCCGTTTACCTTTTTATGGTAACGAATGCTATATCATATAGTAGTTGAATCTGGTTGTAGAAACGGCATCCACTTAGCACGAAGTCCAACGGATAGTAAACACCCGGAAAACATGGTTTTGAACCAGATATTTTGCATTGGATGTAAAGTCTTACAATATAACAACGGCATAAAAAGAGGGAGAGGTTTGGAGATGAGACACTGAAATAAGAGATGATAGATAAAAATCCACTGAGGGAAAAAAAATGATGATTGAGACATTTGGGCAGCATTTGGAAATCTTTATCCTGGAATCTTTATTACTGAGTCCACTCCTCAAACTCCTTCTCATCTTCCATTCTTCTCTGTATTAGACTGAAGAAGCCACTGGGTGGCGAAATGTTTTCAGAATAAAGATTCCCAAATGTTGATCAAGTGTCTCAGTGATTAACTTGTCGGTTTTCTAAACTATTTATACAAAGAAATTTGTCAAATTTACAGAGCTTTCTGACCAAAATGAAGAACAGAAATTTTCCAATGGATGAGTGCACACAATAACAAAAACATGCGCCCAAGAAACAAAATTTAAATACATAAGATCAGTTATATGCATAGATCAAATATTATTAAAAGTGACAGAATTTTTTTCCAGCAGTTACAAAAAAATCCCTATAAAATCTTTTGCCCAAAGAGACTGGTATTCCACTGAAATAAACACTACATGTCTATTTCAGTGTATCGTGCATGCTACAAGCATTGCACGAGGAACAGCAGAACCTCAGAAGTCTTGAGCCGGGCGTGCGACAGAAATTCGTACATCCTTGGAACTACAGGATATTCTGTGAAAGGAGAAAAACTAGTACTCTTGTGAGTCTATGTTAATATTGTGTCTGAGCTCATAATTAATATGCAAGAGTGAAACAGAGAGAGTAGCGTATAATTATGTGGCAAACGCTAGGGACTTAAACTGTTAGTTGCACACTTTACGCAT